TACAAAGGCCTATAGTCACAACTCGTAACTGAAAACGGAAATTCATGAAACATAAAACATGAAGAAGAACACCTTGATGATAGTTCTAGGTTACGCTTTCGCCGCGTCCGCAGTCACACGACCACCTAATGAGGATGATCGTATGTGGCCTTCTCTATGTATATACCGAACAGCAGAAGAGTTTCAGTTCATTCACTTGACGCCGGTTAGTATGGCTTACATGATATCAGAAACGACCGCCAATTCAGTTACAACCACCGGTGGATCGCAGCTACAGTGCACAGAAACTCAGTAGGCCACCCGATCACACACACGTTGAAAAGTAAGAGTCACAGGCTACGCTAATACACCACAGAAAGCTGTTTTTCTCGTGAATAGCGGTGTGCCTAGTTAAGAAGGAACAAGACATGGCTGGTGGTGGTTGGGGCTGCATGAGCACAGTGAGATGGTCGGGAGGACCACAGTCCGACGGGCTCTGTGAAAAACTTTATTTTGTCGCTTATAAGAATATTTATACGATAATAAATAAAAATGGAATGCGATCGTGGTTACTTGCAATATATTATTTCGTGCGGGTTAGCACTAGTACCGCTACAACCACAGCAACACTCGGTGTTTCGGTAGGGTGACTCCTGGCAATCATAGAATTACAACATAGGATGAATAATAATATATTTATTATTTGTGATAATGAAATAATAATTGTTATACTTACTGTACGTAATAATATAAAAACACAATGTTCTTCTACTATAGAATAGTAATGCTATATTAGTATATGATAGAATAAAAATACTGAAATGGACTTAACGAGAGTCCGCGACTCTATCCAATGACATTCGTGAACTGCAACAGAGTGAAAAAACTTAGAGAGCCCAAAGCGCTTGGGCTCCCCGTGAGTCCTCAGGCAGCCTGGGCGCAGCACCCCGAAGGCAAGAAAAAACTTGGGGGTAGCTGGCAGTCTGAAATGAGTTGCAGTGGAGATCCCTGGAACGAGTGCTTCAAGGAAACTTCACATGCAAGCAGAGCCAAGGATACTCTCCTGCATGGCCTGCAGTAGGCAGCCAGTAGTAGGCAGCCTGCAAGAAAGTAAAAGTCCGTGTGCCAGCTTCAAACAGAGAATTCTGCGTCTATTCCCCCATCTCTCCCAGGCAGCAAACGTCGTCTTATGCCTGCTCTTGCAGCAATGAATTAGTGGAGCGAGTGGAGCGC